TCAAAGTATTAACGAAGTGCTCGAAACCGTAATAACGTTTATCAAATCAGGTTGATGCCGATTAGCATTGACCTACCATAGGTATAGTCTTTATCAGGAATATTATCAATCAGCTGGTGACGCTATCTTTTTATTAACAGATAAACGTAAACGTTTGTGAGTATCTATGTTTACTGTATATACATTCTAATCATGCTTTTTATTGTTAAAGCACTTAGACGAGCTCACGGAATATCTGGTGTTAGCTAGTTACCGGATCCCATAGACGCGAAATACCCATTTCGATAAAGCGGCACGACACGAGAATCCTCTCATCGTGGCCGCCAATAACAACATTGCCGATCCTGCGGACCAAATAGTAAACAGTCGACGTCGCCCAAAACACGTTATCTCGGATCCTCCCGATCCACTAACGGTGCTTTTAGGTACCCCAGGCACCGGTCATCGTTCTCGTCGAACCCATCGCTTGCGACGAAGGGCTCGGCGAGTAAATTAACCTACAGCCCACTGAGTTTCTCACCGGATCTTCGCAGTGGGTTGCGTTTCCGATCCGGCGGTAGATTCTGTGAAGCACTGCTCTTGCTAGGGCCAGTGTTAGCAACACTCCCGGTTTGAACCCCGTGAGCTTACCTACACGTCAAGGAGAAGCTGAAATAGCCTCTCAAGGCTATCAGCATAGGCAGGAAAAAAACCCATAGACACGAAATACTTTCGGGTCCCCTCACATGTCGTTCTGGGGTCCGGCGAGGGGGGCCTAAGAAGACGACGTGCAAGCTGCTCTGCACGCGTTTTACGCAAGAGAGGTGATGGAAGGCCGGCTATCCTCGACCCACGCTGGTTCTGGCCCAGCGGGTATTCCATAGGGTAACCCACTCTAACCGGCGCCATCTAGGCGGGCTTCGGACAGTCTGCCGACCGAGAGGGCTGGTGGTCGTGGCGCCGACGACCGCCAGTACGGCGTCCCGAGGGGGTGGGTGATGGGAGAGATGTGCTCCGCCCTAAACGCTTCACTTTCCCCCCTTTGCCTTTTCATGAGTTCTGTCTCATGCGAGGTTTGAACGTTGGTTGTTGAACGACAGAAGGTTTTAGTCAGACTCTGACATACCCGTCCGCCGACTCTGACATACTCCGCCCGCCATCCCCAGGGAAGGGCGGAAGTCCGGCGATTTCCACCTGAGCAAAAAAAAAAAAAAGACACGAAGAACTACATACGGGGTCGATCGGACTTTTATAAATGCATTAAACTTCGCTTTCTGTTATTTGGTAATGATACAGAATTCTGAAAACGATTTTTTATTTTATATTAAAGCTACAACTCGTTTAAGGCACTGGGATTATGAACTTCCTGCCGTCATAGCTTTAAGCTCAACCACTACTTTCGTATACCTATACGCATGGAACAATCCGTGAGACGTGTATAAGTGTAATCACAGTTAGTTAGCAGCCTGTCGGGAATTCATTAACATCGATGTTAATGACTTGACTGTGTAAATTGATTTATTCTTATACCTATATCATGTACAACTGTCTTGATTGTCTGTATATGAATTTGATATTAAAATAATTGTAATACTTGAGATTTTTCTATTTCTAAAAGACTATAATGGCATTTGTAACTTGTTATATTCTATAAGTAAATAATAAATAAGTAATAGGAAATAATTAGGGGCTGGATGCAGATGTTAATGTAAATATATAGTAAGGCTGGAGAGTTCGTGTGCGTGTTGATCTATGGAAATAGTTTAAATGGTACATATGTAGTTACATAGTAATGTAGTCCCATTTGAAAAAACCGTATTGCTTTAGCTAATCTCTTTATTGAGAAAAGCTATATAGCTTCAGTTTGTCGTTTATCTTCATTTACGATGAGTAAAGAATCCATCTAGAATCATCCGGCTAAAAATATGATTATAATAGTTTAATCCCGACGAAAGTTTAGGTACTTACGTGTTTCAGGGATTTTAGTAATTTTTTCCCTACCTATTCTAGTAATCTCGAGGGGTTATATTAGATTCACCGGGCGAATAGGTGAGCTCATGGGGCTCTAATCTGACGAATTTGCTAACGCTAGCCCTAGGGAGAGCAGTGCTTCGCAGAATCTACCACCGGATCGGTAACGCGACCCACTGAGGAGATCGGGCGAGAAACTAAATGGGCATTTTAGTTAAAGAATGTCTGTTAAATAAATCGTAGCTGCTCAGGTTGTGATGTGCAGCACATCTGTCGCGGGTTCGGCCAATCAGAGAAGAGCGCGCACGCAGCTGTCGCGAGCACGTAACCGTCGCCGTCGGTCGGAGCTAGTTCTTATTTCCTTTATTGTTATTTTTTGTATTCGAAACTCCCATTTTCTTCTCGGATGCGGGTATGCATTGCTGTGATAATTCTTTTAAACTTTCATGTCTGCACCTTCTATTGATTTTTTGTTTTGTTTTTCTTTTTATTTACGTCTAATATTGTAATAAAAAGCTTTATACTAAATTACCAAAAGGGTTCATTTGCAACAACAGGAAAAAAAACTCAAACAGTCACTGGTGGTAGGACCTCTTGTGAGTCCGCGCGGGTAGGTATCACCATCCTACCTATTTCTGCCGTGAAGCAGTAATGCGTTTCGGTTTGAAGAGTGGGACAGCAGTTGTAACTATACTGAGATCATAGAACTTATATCTCAAGGTGGGTGGCGCATTTACGCTGTAGACGTCTATGGGCTTCAGTAATCACTTAACACCAGGTGGGCTGTGAGTTCGTCCACCCATCAAAGCAATAAAAAAAATTATATACATTTTTTTTCATTTGATCGTCTGTTGGGTAAAACACTTATTATTATCCAAAAAATCGCTTAAGGCTAGTGTAATTTTTAATAAAATAATATATGAAAACACAAGTAATATTTAACTTCGTGGTCGTTCGTGGTCAAAGAAAGCAGCTGCAAGGTAATGACGGTACCTAATAATAACATCAATTAACGTTAAGTAACTTACTTGATCTTGTGAACTGTCAAGCCGACTGGGATTGCAAGACGTGCTTTTAATTTTGAACCTATTCTTAACTCGGTAAGGTGTATTTTCAAAAACTCATATCTATTTCTATTGGAGTTCGTAACCCTCGCTTGTCCTGTATTACTTTACCGAGCTCTGCGGCTGCGCTCATAATGAACTAGGTCAAGCTCTTATAACTAGTGGGGCTTGGGAGTTAGTTACGTGTCTCGCGATTTTAAATTACCTACATATTGATATAAATATGTCGGAAGCTGTTTTAATTTAAATTGATACTGTATTATATTTATTTTAGAATTCAAAATATATTTTCTTCAAACAATGATTTTACACCCATCACTCGTTGAATCGTTTACGCATTTTATTTATTTAATTTACTTCAGATTTTACATCCATATTACACTTCATTACACTGCATTAACATTTCATTTATACTAGAATTAAATAAAAATAATAACTACAATCTCGACTAAAACAAAAACAATAATAATAATAATAAAAACATAATTTACAATCATGTTTTTTTTTAATAAGTAAAATAATAGCATAGAAAATTGATCTCGGTTTTTGTAGTTTGCATGAAGAGCAAAGTAAATGTCGGCGGTTGTTTCCAAAATATGAAAATAAATACTGGGTCGCATAAGGCTTTCGTGCTCTGTGCTCAGATATTTATTCTGCATTTTACTAACATGTTATCTATGACTGACGTGCATGGCTATGCGGGTGATCATAGCTGGAGCCTGAAGCTAAAATGCTGTAGAGTAGACAGCGATGCGGTTAAAACTTATATTATAGTAGTAGGGGTTGATTGTACCCATGATACAGGCGATATTTATAAGTGATGGATAGATATGTACCATACATCAAGTAATCCAAACGTATACGCTAGATAAACAATTAAAATGGTAGCGTAAAGGAACATTTACGTAAAATTATATACAGTCTATGTACCAACTTTTATTTGATAATCGTAATCATAGAGTCCTGCATACGAACAAAGTACCTATTACCTATTATCATATATAGGTAATACCAGAAACAAAACCAAGCTGCTGCCTAGTTTGTACCTGTTTTATTCAACACATCTTTAGTCCCCGCTAGATTCTGCTTGTAGGAGGAAATGCTATAGCACTAAGGAAATACTTAGGAAGGGAGTACTTTGTACTGAGGGGGGATTACAGACATTATAGACGAAAACCGCTAAAAAATGATTGGCGACAACAAACGCACGTATTGCGTCTATTTGCAATAGATACTAGGGACAGTAGGCCAAAGTTTAACTCTATATACTTAATAACATAATAACTAAATGATTTGTCTCATTGGCGTTCATAGACATAACAATTAAAATATACCTTTATTCATACATAAATCATCGGATACTACCATAAAGATGAATCTAACCTTATTCTAAAATACTTTAGGATGTTTGAGCTATATACAACCAGTCAGCCTAAAGTATACACATATACATACAATACTTGTCCTTCTTACCTTGTTACCTTTTTACCTTTTTATTAGCTGAATTGCGCGGATTAACGTGAAAAATGGCGTCGATGTTTCTATAGTATAAGCCATCATGCCCTTTAGACGATATTACGGGCCTGAAATAGAATGGTAATATCATCAAGTGGGCTCACAAATCAGTTTTTTTTTATTTGCACTCTGTATATTATATAGTTATTACGTGTTCAATTAAATTGAGAACGTTCCCAGAACAAGAACATTAATCGCATAATTCGCATATCATGATTCTCACAACGGACTTATATTTTTTATTATATAGTACATAATATTATACATATAAAATGCATATTCGTACTGTACCGTACCTTATGTGTCATTCCTGTCTCGTGCCTATAGTAGGTAAAGACTTCGATCAACAGTTACTATTTTTGATAAAGTTGGTAAAGAGGATAAATATTAAATTTTAAGTAAAAAAGAACATCCATTTCCTTTTCTCTGTGTGTAAATTAAATGATAATACATATCGTTTTACAATTTCAGGGTCAGTGCTATGCGAGGATGAAACCATAGGCCCGATATTTATGAAGGAACCCCCGAATCGAGTAGACTTCAGCAATACGACCGGTGCGACTGTTGAATGTGCTGCCCGTGGTTCTCCGACCCCCGACATCATCTGGGTGCGAGCTGATGGTACTACCGTAGGAGATGTCCCTGGATTGCGTCAGGTATGTGTCTTTTTTTTATTGCTTAGATAAGTGCACGAGCTCACAGCCCACCTGGTATTCAGGGGTTACTGGAGCCCATAGACATCTACGACGTAAATGCGCCACCCACCTTGAGATATCAGCTCTAAGGTCTCAGTATAGTTACAACGGCTGCCCCGCCCTTTAAACCGAAACGCATTACTGTTTCACGGCAGAAATAGGCAGGGCGGTGGTACCTACCCACGTGGACTCACAAGAGGTCCTACCACCAGTAAAGTCTGTTTTTATTATTACTTACATTATTACATTACTTACATCCGTATGTGTTTTTTTAACACTTCCCTTTTTGCGTGATATACCGGAATGTACCAATTAAATCTACACTTTCACTTGCCAGGTCTTGCCAAATGGAAACTTGTTGTTCCCGCCATTCCGTGCCAAAGATTACCGCCAGGAAGTACACGCTCAGGTCTATGCTTGTCTCGCACGCAACCCTGTAGGAACTATACTGTCGCGTGATGTCAATGTCCGAGCGGGTAAGCTTCCCTCAAGTATCTATACTAATATATAAATCTACAGTGGTTTTTACGGATGATCCGTTATAACTACTGAACCATGCATCCGATTGACTTACAACTTGGTATCCATGTAGAAAATACATGTACTTAATTAATAAGCTAATATTTATATGAGTGTTGGACTCCGTACACCAGTTGTGGGGGCGTTAATGATGAGAATCTTTGTGGGGGTGAGAAATAATAATGTTAAATACCCAGCCAAGCGGATGGATACAGTTAGTATTTTATAAAAGCGAACATTAATAATATTTGTATTACTTGAAATGATCAAGTAGAAAGTAAAATATGTATAGCTGTTTACATTTAATTCACGAAGTTACAATCCTAAAAATTCTAGTTGAAAGTAAATTATGCATAAGAAAGATTGATGAGTCAACTACGTATTTAATTACCAATACCGATTATTACAGTACTGATCATACACCATAATAATATCAGCGTCATTATTTGTTTACCTAGTATTGTCATTGCCACGCCATAACTATCTCTTCTTCGAAGCTCAAGTTTTAAAAGTATCTTAATTATTAGGCAGCGGTCATCTGTGCCCATGGCTTGAATGACGTTCGCTAGGAAAGATACCCACTTTTTATTGGGTGGACTTTAAATTCGCCTGCCTTCGATGGCAAAGAAAACACAAAAAAAAATTTACATGGGTCCTAAGTTAAGAGTTTCACTCGCTAAATGTCAAATATTTGAATAGTGTTGTGCTCTCATTAAAACCATTCATTTATCTAATGAGGCGTGTTTTATATGAATGGAAGAACGTAAGTGGTTTATTGGTCATTATAGGGCGCTGCCCTTCACGACCGTTAGTGAAAAAGGTCAATTAATTGAACAGTCATTCAATTCTGTTTGAAGATATCGTATAAAGATGAAACAGTTAAGATGACTGGTACATAAGCTTACATAATCATTTCACGGCTGTCCACCTCACTTTAACATGAATTTTAATGCTTCGTGTTCGTACAATAAGTTATACGAATGTATCATGATTGACAACCCTAATGTGTTATGTTTATGAAATTTTTACATCAATATTTTTATTATTATTTGGTCAGTATTAATTTCATATTTAATAATTTACGTCTAAGTGGTCGCACAGCAATACGATACCGACGTCAACAAGGAATATGTAATATTGGGGAACAGTATCTTACTTAAATGTCAAGTTCCTTCCTTCGTGGCTGATTTTACTGAAGTTCTATCCTGGCATACGGACCATAACGAAGATTTTTTTCCCGGAGAAAACTACGGTTAATTCTGCATAAGTTTCCAGTCTTTTAACCTTACATCCTTCCTAACTCCAGAGTAAATGTTTTTCTTCAGTGGTCCAACAGCAATACGAGTCAGAAGTAAATAATGAATATGTTATTCGTGGAAACTCTGCGATATTGAAATGCTCAATTCCATCATTCGTGGCGGACTTCGTTACGGTTTTATCTTGGCATGACGACACCGGAAATACATTTACTATTGAAGAATCTAAGGAAGGCGAGGGTACCGGACACAAAACTACAAAGAACTTTTAACCCACACCTTTTCCCAAAATCCTCTCTCGTTATAAATTCACGGTTGTGCTTCCCTTTTGCAGTTGTTACACAATATTATGAATCTGAAGTAGTATCAGAATATGTCATACGAGGAAATGCTGCAGTACTCAAGTGTAACATACCGTCTTTTGTTAGTGATTTTGTTAAAGTCGAAGCTTGGATTGATACCGACGGTGGAGAATACCTACATACTGACAATATTGGTATTCAGTTACACAATATGTAGCTTAAAAATCCAAAAAAATCCTATCCCGCAATTACACTAAATGTTCAGTACTATATGTTGTCACGAAATCCTTTGCAGTCGTAAATCAGTTCTACGAAGCTGAAATTTTAAAAGAGTATGTTATTCGAGGAAATGCCGCCGTCCTAAAATGTTCTATTCCTTCTTTTGTGGCCGATTTTGTGAAGGTAGACGCTTGGTTAGACGAAGAAGGAACTGTTTTCACTCCCACTGAAAATCTCGGTACCTACACAATAAATTCAAACGTAACATATTTTCCATAGCTATCTATTCCTACTCCTAAGACCAATCGATCCCATATACATCCTTGTTATTATTCAACAGTCGTATCGCAGAATTACGTGACCGAAGCCGAAAATGAGTACGTGATTAGAGGCAACGCAGCTATTGTTCATTGCAAGATTCCATCATTTGTCAGTGACTTCGTCTATGTAGAATCTTGGTTAATGGACGATGGTGAAATACTTACAGAAAACAATACCAAGATAGCGAAGGGTATTCAGTGTATTGATAGAAAATAATGATATTACCGTAATCCCAATCCGAAAATCCTTTTACGTAGATAAAAAAATTGTTTTGTGATATTTGCGTAGTGGTATCACAGCCCTTTGAAGCCGAAGCCGATAACGAATATGTAATTAGAGGGAACTCTGCTATTATGAAATGCGAAGTGCCCAGTTACGTCTCTGACTTTGTTTATGTCGAGATGTGGATGGACAGCGAGGGTGGCACTTATCAGCCCGGTGGAGATGTTGGTAATTGGCATCTAAAGTACGTTACCTTGTCCTTAAACTCCTTTTTCCTCTGTCGTAGCGGTTCTTCAGACGTATGAAGCTAGAGTAAATGACGAATTTGTTCTCCGCGGCAATACTGCGATACTTAAATGCATCGTACCATCCTTCGTTGCTGACTTCGTCCATGTTGTGGCATGGACCATGGATAATGAAACTGTATCTTCAGAGGAAGATGAAATATCCAGGGCCGATAGTAGAGATCCTAGTTATAAAATGTTGCCGTCCATTATCCTCCCTTGTTCCTAAACACAAATAGATTTTTAAATAAGATGAACGATGTTGGTCCACAGTGGTACAACAGAATTATGAGCCACGTGTAACTGACGAAGACATTTTACGTGGAAATTCCGCGATTATCAAATGTATAATACCGTCGTTTGTTGCCGACTATATTCAAATACTCGAATGGGTACAGAGCGAAGAATCTATTTCTGTTCCGAATACAAATTCTTTCTCATTCAACAGCTCTGACGGAAATTACGGTAATCGCCATACACGCATACATGGCTGTAGTTGTTCCTATCCACAGTCCAAATCCTAATAGGGTCATCGAGCATTTTGTGTTTCTAAAAATACATCGTAACCGTTTCAGCTGTTAATCAATTCTATGAATCGCAAGTATACGACATATACGTGATCCGTGGTAATGCTGCTGTGTTTAAATGTCATATCCCGTCTTTCGTTTCTGACCACGTGCAAGTAGTTTCTTGGCATGATACTAAAGGAGGAGAGTACTTGCAAATTGATGAAAACGGTATATTTAGTAAAGCTGAGAAGTACTTTAAAAAATCCTAATTTTCCTCTCCACATTATTTCATTATGATGACAAATAATATAATAGTTAAGTAATAACTGAGTTAAACTATATTCAATGTTGTTTTAGTCGTATCACAAGCGTACACAATCCATTTAGTCGAAGAGAACGTATTACGAGGAAATGCTGTCATTGTAAAATGTCTCATTCCAAGTTTCGTCACAGAATATGTTTTCGTGGCTTCGTGGATAATTTCGGAAGATGATAATAAAATTGAAATTACAAATAACGAATCATTAAATAAAGAGGGTATTTTTTTTATATCGTCGATTATGTCGTCTAAATTTCCCAGTCCTTACCCTTTTGTCGCAATCGGAATCTAGCACGCATTTTATAAATTTACAGTAGTCACACAAGCCTACACGGTCAATCTTATGGAAGAAAGTGTTTTGCGTGGGAATGCTGTTGTTCTGAAATGTCATATTTCGACATTTGTAACAGAGTATGTTAGTGTGTCGTCTTGGATTGTGTCAGAAGAAGACAAGAACGATTTAGAAATCAAAGCAGAACCTAACGATATGGGTACTATTTCTGATAAATAACGAGCAAAATTAACACAGTATCCAGTTTCCCTTCCTTTCAGAAATGTAGCAATAAAATTAAAGATTTATGTTTAGTATTTTTTTTATTGTTGTATAAAAAATATTATTATACTTAAAAACGATATGTATTTCAGCCGTATCTCAGGCTTATACCGTAAACCTAATGGAAGAAAACGTGCTTCGCGGTAATTCGGCTGTACTAAAATGTCATATACCTAGTTTTGTCTCGGAATACGTGACTGTGACATCCTGGACTATATCGGAAAAAAACTATCCAGATATCGAGATAAGCTCGAACGGGTCGTCTAATTTAGGTATCCGATGGAAGGTTGTTACTCGTCCCACCAAAACCCATTCCTTAAACCTGCAAATTTGAGTGCTCTGAATCTGTTTCAGTGGTATCGCAGTCTTATACTGTCAACCTATGGGAAGAGAATGTTTTGCGGGGAAACGCTGCTATATTGAAATGTCAAATACCAAGCTTTGCCACCGAATATGTAACGGTTACTTCTTGGATTATCTCCCAGAATGATGTTGTAGAAACTGAAATTAATATAGAGTCTGAATTCACATTAGGTATTTTGAAAATAAAAACAAATATGACCTTTCCCTTTTACGTCCCTTCAATTTTGTTTCATACATTTTATAAATATCACAGTTTAGTATTATTGGCCTTTTATTATTATTTTCCAAGTAAAAACCGGGTATATTTGACAGTTCTTGGCCAATATTTCAGTAATATCTCAAGAATACGACGTCAAATTTTGGGAAGAATATGTTTTGCGGGGAAATGCCGCTATCCTGAAGTGTCAAGTTCCTAGTTTTGTATCTGAATATGTCTCAGTTTCTTCTTGGATTATTTCTGAAGATCAAAAAGAGCAAGAAATAAAAATTAATGAAACTCTAAATTTAGGTATAACAATGATAAAAATTAAAATGAATTGAGTCCTTTCCTTATAATCCTTTTGGCAACGGTTAAAGAATTTTTTTAGATCAGATTGTTTCTTCTTCAAGACTTGTATATGTATCTTAAAAATAACTATATATTTTATCAGATTGCGTTTCTTCATGAATACATATACAATTTACCTCCAAATATCACACGTTGAGCGATCATCCAGCAAATACTGTATTGTTTCAGTGGTGTCACAGTCATATGCTGTCAATTTAATGGAAGAATACGTCCTTAGAGGGAATAGTGCTATACTTAAATGTCATATTCCGAGCTTCGTTTCCGAGTATGTCTCAGTTATATCATGGATTGTCAGTGAAGGTGAAGAACAACTAGAACTTGATTCTAACGAAGCGCACGGTACGAACTATCTATAATTTTGGTCTTTCAGATTTGGCTTTTTTCAGCCTTATCTCTATTGTTTTAAGATTTCGGATTGCTCAAATTTTTTCTCATCAAATGGTTAGGTGACTATTAGGTGAATGCTCCTATGATGGGTTCCCGTGTTTCCATGGGCCTCACGGCCTACCTTAATCCTTTTTCCCACTTCCTTAGGCTAATGCATGCTATACGATTTATAAGTAAATAGCAACCTTATGTTGCATTTCATTAAAATTTTGGTCTATTGCTTTAATTTATTTGCTGAATATATTCAAGCGAGAAAGAACATATTCATAAACGATAATAACTATTTTCAGACGGAAAATATTTGGTACTCCCATCTGGAGAGTTACACATTCGTGATGTCGGACCTGAAGACGGATATAAATCTTACCAATGTCGGACAAAGCATAGACTGACTGGAGAAACTAGATTGTCAGCTACTAAGGGGCGACTTGTCATTACTGGTGAGTTTAATTTATCAAAAAAAAAAAACGAATTAAGTACGCCGTCAATTCATGTTAATGCAGTAAAAATGAATCACTTAATGAATAGGATACCCAAAAACGTATCGCTATTTAATTATATACAGCCAAGTATGCGATATAATATTTTTGATTATTAATAGCAAAGGAAAGGAACTTTTCGGAAGTCAAGTAAATGAAAAAAAAAACATTACACGTGCCTAAACATCCGCGCTTGAGATCCGCCCTACAATATCAGTGATTACACAAATCCTTCATTGTAGAAGTAATTCATGAATATGCATTAAATATTTATGTATTTCTTTACAAAAATTCGTCCATGCTTGCAGTATTTGAGCACCGGTATACAGTCATATAACTCGATACGAGTCTTATCCTTTAGGCTACAAGGACTTGACTTAGTGGACCGGCTTTCGAAGCATTGAGATCCCTGTACCAAGTCGTGTAGTCACGATTAGTATAGTCTTCAAGAGACAGAGATATCTCTGTTTTCTTCCTCCATACTGATCCATTTCCGCCGAGCGGGTGACAGAAGGAAAGGTTTCTCTCACCTTATTCCCGCGACGCTATAAAGCTGCTTAATATAAGTGGAGAAAGAAGCTATTAAATTATTCACTACAAATTTGTACCTACATATTAAAATAAGGATACCGCGGGCCTTCATATGGGTATTCTCTTCAAAAAAGTGTTGTGATTTTAAATGAAAACTATATGAATTGATTGCTACTTAACAATGATCTGAAAATTAGGTAAATTAATGAATCAATAGTTTGTGTAACTTCTTGAAATATGCACATCCGTATTACTTATTCACTTATCAAATGACAATTAACTCAAAACTCAAAAGAGAGCATTAAACTCAAAAGAAATGCATATTTTAAGAAATTAATCAAATCCTATTTAACATAGAGGAATTCGTTAATTTTAATTAATACAGAATAGCATTTTCTCTACTATATTTTCTATGAGCACGAATGAATTTAGTTGTAATTTAAAAATAAAGGGCGTTTCAGCTGCCGTTGAAATATAAATAGAAAAATATACCTTATAATATCAATAAAGAGAATATTCTGTATTAACTTTTCTATGTTTACGCTTACTTTATTTCTGAACAAAAATCTGTAATCATTTTACTATAAATATGTTTTTTAAAACTTACGCGACATATTAGAAATTCAAAATTTGTTACCAATCAATTATATAAATGAATCGATAAAGTGATTACAGAATTTTTTAACTTTGTGAATATCTGAGTACATTTTAAAATCACTTGCCTGAATGTTGGGATAGGGTACCCTGCAGAGCTTTGATTTATAGACAATGCCATGAAAATTTGGAGAAATATAGGGGCTATACAGGTTTCTTTTTCGCAATCTTATGGTCCTCAACTACGTTCGTAAATTCGCCTTCTCCCAACATGCGCAGAACCTGTGGGTCGGGTGCCTCCAAAGTTCCCTAATGCACAAACTACCAGTGGCTTCCAGTTTAGTGAATCTACTAACCTCGCCCTGCTATGCTCAGCTCAGGCCTTTCCCGCACCTATGTACCGGTAAGATTAATTTTATTAACGTCGTTTTGCGTCATTCCTCAGAGCCGATAGGGCGCGTTCCACCTAAATTGTCGACAACTCAAGTGGGTGCAATGTTTGTTACTACATCTGGCGCCCCATTTAATTTACAATGTCCTGCACAGGCATTCCCTGTCCCATTGTTCAGGTAACCATTACTTTTACTTATTGTTCAATCTTTGTAGAACCTGTTGGCCGTGTACCTCCTAAATTTGCATCAGTATTAACCGGGACTATGTTCGAAGTTAAGAAATTTAATTCATACGCATTGCAGTGTCCTGCACAGGCATTCCCCACCCCTTTGTTCAGGTAACTACACTAAATACGATTCCCACTACATAAAACATATTGTGATATCCCTTTAGAACCCGTTGGACGTGTTCCACCTAAATTCGCTTCAGTTGTGATGGGAACTATTATCGCAGTCAAGAAAAGCATAAGATTTGAATTGCAATGCCCAGCGCAAGCTTTCCCTATTCCAATTTTCAGGTAATATTTTTTATGTGTCGCTTAATTAAAATGGATCGAAAATATCAAACTGTAAGTGTGAAAAAGGCGCAGCATTATTTACGAGTTTCTTTTCTACAGAACCTATGGGAAAAGTATCGCCAAAATTTCCATCCTTAGAAAAAAGTAGACTTTTCAATTTTGATTCTCAACAAAGTTTGTCAGTTTTATGTCCTGCTCAGTCTTTTCCACCACCAATGTTTAGGTAAGATTCAACGGGTTTATAGATATAATTTCAATCATAAAGAAAAGTTTTGTTTCATAGAGCCATTGGGAAGAGTACCACCAAAATTTCCAACAGGGGACATAAGTAGAACTTTCGTAGAAAAAGTAAGAAATGGATTATGTCTACTTTGTACAGCTCAAGGGTTCCCTGCTCCTGCATTTAGGTACATTATTCCATTGCACTATCATTTCTTTATATGAAAATTTTCAAAAACAGAACCTATGGGCAAAGTTTCACCGAAGTTTCCTTCCATGGAAACAGGACGCAGCTTTACTTTTAACTCTGATTCTTGTGTCACAATGCTCTGTCCTGCACAAGCGTTCCCGTCACCAATGTTCAGGTACACTTATTTATAAATCTTCTCTTTAGAGCCTGTGGGACGTGTACCACCAAAATTTCCTTCAATGGATAGCTCGAGAAGTTTCAGCAGTATGATAAAAGCTGATTTAACGATACTGTGTCCTGCGCAAGCATTCCCGGTCCCACTATTCAGGTAAATTCCGGAGAAAAATCTAACGTCAGTTTTTATCTTTAGAGCCAGTCGGTCGTGTTTCGCCAAAATTTACGACAACTGATAAAAGTCGGGCATTTGATGCTGTGAGTGGTGAAAACGTAACCATTTTATGCCCCGCCCAAGCTTACCCCGCCCCAGCCTTCAGGTACATAGATCAATTGATAAATAGATTTTAACTCAAAAAATGTTTCATAGAACCCGTCGGTACAGCTGCACCGAAAGTTGCAACAAAAGTTATTGATATCACCGAAGTGTCGTTGAACAACACCGTAACTTTTTTATGCCCAGCTCAGGCATTCCCCGTTCCAATATTCAGGTAAATACAGATTATACGCTAGTCGCAATATAATTTCCAAACATTATAATATGTTTTCCATGATCTTCAGAGCCTGTGGGACGTGTCCCACCGAAGTTTCCAACAATGGATAATGTTAGAGGTTTTAATGCTATGATAAAAGATAGCCTAACGCTGATATGTCCTGCTCAAGCTTTTCCTGTACCTTTATTCAGGTAATTCTAATATAATTCAAAATGATTGACCTGTTCAAATTTTCCTTNATTTCCAAACATTATAATATGTTTTCCATGATCTTCAGAGCCTGTGGGACGTGTCCCACCGAAGTTTCCAACAATGGATAATGTTAGAGGTTTTAATGCTATGATAAAAGATAGCCTAACGCTGATATGTCCTGCTCAAGCTTTTCCTGTACCTTTATTCAGGTAATTCTAATATAATTCAAAATGATTGACCTGTTCAAATTTTCCTTTTAGAACCAATAAATAGTGCTCCACCGAAAGTCCCAACAAAAACCATCGAATTTGTTCAATTTCACTTAAATAACAGTATAACGTTGCTTTGCTTGGCACAAGCATATCCAGTGCCAATATTTAGGTAAGTTCTGTCATATTTAAATAAATCGTAGGCATTTGTTTTAGAACCAGTCGGTCTGAAAGCCCCTACATTTTCTACTGATTTTAAATTGGCATGGTATGAAAAGCACGTTAAACAGGGTTTTGCGTTACTTTGCCCATCGCAGGGATTCCCCGCTCCTATATTCAGGTATCTAAGTTTCAATTGTTTTTAGAACCGATCGGCTCCAAAAGTCCTTCATTTCCAAGCGGTTCCAAGCTGGCGTCGTTTCAAATTGGTTTAGACGAGAATTTCGCTTTATTATGTTCGGCACAAGGCTTTCCTGTTCCTTTCTTTAGGTGAGATTAAAACGTTTAACATTATTTCCATGCCTTTCAGAGCCCGTCGGTTTTAAATCACCATCATTTTCTACTGATGATAAACTAGCATGGTTTGTGCGACGCGTAGGAGAAAATCTTGCATTATTTTGTCCAGCTCAAGGGCATCCTATTCCCACATTCAGGTACTTGAAATAAATTCGATAAAAAAATAAATGTGATTTTAGAACCGATTGGATCGAAGTCACCCGCTTTCTCTACTGATAACAAATTTTCATGGTATTTGAGAGGTGTTGGCCAAAGCTTAAGCATCATGTGTCCGGCTCAAGGTTTTCCAGTCCCTTTGTTCAGGTGATTAAATTAATGTTTTCCAATTATAGAACCTGTTGGCTCGAAATCCCCTACATTTTCGAACGATGTACAATTTTCTGGCATTATCCGTAAAACTTATCAGGACTTTGCTATGCTATGCCAAGCCCAAGCATTTCCTGTCCCTTTATTCAGGTAAGCGTATGTGGTAATAATACTATCTTCTCAAAACCGCAGAACCTATAGGCTCGAAAGCACCATCCTTTTCGATGGAATTTAAAAGTACGACTCTGACAAAATTTGTGAATCAAGGAGTGGTTCTCTTATGCCAAGCTCAAGCTCATCCAACACCACTTTTCAAGTGAGTTGATTATTGTCGAATATTTTTTTCGCTCAGAACCTATCACTGCGAGGGCGCCAGCCTTTCCCAATTCAGCCACGTACAATTACAATATTGAAGCTGCATCTGGTGGCTCAATGTTGTGTCAGGCCCAAGGGTACCCTGAGCCCGTATTCAGGTATGTTAATAAAAAAAACATCATTTTGTAGAAACGGTCGCAGCAAAGGCTCCATCTTTTTCTACTGATTCTAAAGGAAGTATATTTGTTAGAGATGTCGGACAAGGTTTTGCATTACTCTGTCAGGCGCAAGCATCCCCAGTTCCCATATTTCGGTAAGTCATAATAATACACGATTATTTTCTACAGAGCCAGTGGGTTCTAAGCCCCCAACATTCTCTACTGATTTTACGCTATCTGCAGTAAAGAGGTATAAGGGTCAGAATTTTGCTATGTTATGTCAAGCACAGGCGTTTCCCACTCCAATTTTCAGGCAAGTAACTATCTTTATATACAGATAAGGATTATCCGTACATTGGTTTCCACAGAACCGGTGGGCTCGAAGGCTCCTTCGTTTTCGTCTGACTCAGCTCTTTCGTCCATTAAAAGACAAGAGAATCAAAGTTTTGCTTTACTTTGTCAAGCACAAGCTTTTCCAGTCCCATTATTCAGGCAAGTTACGTTTTTATTACAACATATGTTTTAGAGCCCGCTGGCGCAAAATCACCGACATTCTCGACTGAATCGATAGGAAGTGTTTTCCGCAAACGTGCTGGGCAAGGATTTGCTCTTCTCTGTCAGGCTCAAAGCTATCCCGCTCCTATATTCAGGCAAGTTTATTTGTTTTACTACAGAACCTGTCGGCTACAAAGCTCCAACCTTCTCCACGGATGCACGTAGTTCCACTTTTATTCGAACAATCGGTCAACATTTTGGATTATTGTGTCAAGCACAAGCTTTTCCCGTTCCAATATTCAGGCAAGTTTTCTTTGTCAAGTAGTTATAAATGGCCCGTTTTTATTAACATTATTTATCTATTAAGGTCATTGAGTAGAGCGTTTTGTTTCGATTTAGAACCAATAGCAAGTGCTGCTCCAAGTATTACGGCAACACCAAAAGCTACCGTTACCTACCCTCAACAAATATCTTTGGCGCTGACATGCCCTGCACAAGGATATCCTGTACCTTTATCAAGGTGCGTTGATCAATACTAAGAACTAAAATGTGTTAAGGGTTATAGTTACGTCTATTATTAAATACAATCTTGTAAAGGCATTTTTCTTAACCTGACTTTTGACCTGACCGACCGTGCCAGTCCGATCGCTTAAGTTTCTTCTCGGAAAAATAGCCATATTTTCATTTGTGAGGAAAGTTTAGTTCTTGTAAGGAGGAAATCTGCCATTACAGAACCCACCAATAAGATTAGGCCCAGGAAAGCGTCTTCGAAAAATTTCGAAGGTTGGGAAGTTTTTGTTGTTCCTCAGCGAGACGTCGCGTACCTTACTTGCCAGGTTGCTGCTTATCCGGTGCCCAGTTTTAGGTGAGTTCAGAATGTAGTTTAAAGTTTAAATTACAGAACCATCTGGTAGAACTGGACCAAAAGTAACAGGAGACGGGCTCAACCGGCAAATAGGTCAACATGGCGAAAGTCTTGCTCTCCTATGTGACGCTCAAGCTTTTCCAGCTCCTTTGATGAGGTACGACTTCTCCCGTCGGCCGGCCGTTAGGTTCTCACGCATTCATTTTTCACGTAGACACACCATCATCATCCCAATCCAATGTACTGATATGCATTGTTATTGCAGTCTGTTGCGGCGGCCGCACCGCCCACATGTCACATGAAGGCGTGATGAAACGCGGCCGGCCGCGCTTCCGTATTACGGTCCACAGCCAAAGTAACGATTGAGCGGAGTTAGACACCTGTTGGTAAGTGTCAGGGTGTTCTTGCTTTATTTCAGACGCTTTAATCTTTACTTTGAGCTTCTCGTGAATCGGTCTGTACTTAGTACATACAATCACTTTGCCTCGTAAGAAACTTTACAATGGGTAACGTCAGGTAACTTAGAAATTGGTATTCAAAATATATTTAGCAAATTGCAAGCTTTTTGATTTGTTTTATGGTCGTTTTTTGGTGGCTTCCTTCAGTGTTATATTTTCGAAAATTCTTATTGGTTTTGTGTAGTCTTATCGTCGTTTTGTTGAAACTCATATCTTCTAGAGCAAACGGTCAACGCTCCTCAAAGACTATTAAAGTTAAACTTAAGTGACCGAAATGATTTACTTGAAATTCATTAATCGTATTCATGACAAATATAATTTGAACTCTCAATCGATTTGATTCGCCTTGATGAATACTGTTCTGAACGTTTTCTCTTTTGTTACAGATGGTACAAATTCATTGATGGCACAACACGCAAACAACCCGTCACACTTGACGATAGAGTGAAGCAAGTATCTGGAACTCTGATTATCAAAGAGGCAAAAGTTGAAGACTCTGGCAAATACTTGTGTGTCGTCAATAATTCCGTCGGAGGTGAGCAACGAAAAAGACTATTATTTCCAATTCGTTTCACGAGTCTTAACATTATCACTTTTATAATTGTTTTTAAATTAGTAGGTAGTATCCATTTTCACATTTCGATAAATAACCACTACAGTCGTCTGTGACCACGAAACTTATGAAGCATACGTAATACCGGAAATTGTGAAACGGAAGTGAAACTGTAAAAATTTCGTTAAACACAGTAACCGTTTCAATCAATTTGATATGAACTTTCAATGTTTTAGGCGAATCCGTTGAAACCGTTTTAACCGTCACCGCTCCATTGAAAGCAACCGTAGAGCCCGCCACTCAAACGGTAGACTTCGGGAGACCCGCTGTCTTTACTTGCAGATATGAAGGAAACCCCGTCAAAACTATTACATGGCTGAAAGACGGTAAAGATATGAAACACCATGACGCAAGCTTAAGGTGAGTAAATGTCAATATTTAAAAAGCAATACAAAAAAAGAAGAAAAGGAAAGCAAGGTAACAAAATTATATAAAACTTTCAAACTAACTCCTACAGAATTGAATCTGTGAAGAAAGAAGACAAGGGAATGTATCAGTGTTCCATTAGGAACGACCAAGAAAGCGCAAGTGCAAGTGCTGAGCTGAAACTCGGAGGACGATGTGAGATATTTCTTTTCGTTACCAATTTATTAATTACTCTTTGATTGTTTATTTCCACAACCGCGTTGCTTTTATGCTGCAAAGAGATTGATTGCCCTAGATGGCCCTAGACGGCCACATCCTGTCTCAAATAAAAAAGAACCTTGAGACAAGTCTAAGTTTTAATTTGATTGTATATATAAATATATTTTTTATTGCTTAGATAGGTGGACGAACTCACAGCCCACCTGGTGTTAAGTGGTTACTGGAGCCCATGCACATCTACAACGTAAATGCGCCACCCACCTTGAGATATAAGTTCAAAGGTCTCAGTATAGTTACAACGGCTGCCCCACCCTTCAAACCGAAACGCATTACTGCTTCACGGCAGAAATAGGCAGGGTGGTGGTACCTACCGGCGCGGACTCACAAGAGGTCCTACCACCTGTAAAAAAAGCCAGTATAGCCATTATCACACCTTTAAAACAGGAATCGTTTAACTATTGGTAGTTTTTAAGACTAAATTGAAAATGTTTCAGTTGAACCGCCTCAAATCAGGCATAGCTTTGGCGAGCAGACTTTCCGCTCCGGTCCGTCTCTTCGGCTGAAATGTGTAGCGTCCGGGAACCCGACCCCCGACATCGCCTGGCTCTTGGACGGTGAGAAGCTGTCCAGTGGCGAACGACTTCAGATCGGACAATTCGTTACGGCCGACGGCAACGTCGAGTCGCACCTCAACATTTCTTCCGTGCAGACCAACGATGGCGGCCTCTACACCTGCTTCGCTTCGAGCAAGGTGATTGATCATAGTTGGTATTCATCGAACGTCCAACACAAAAACTAATTAAAATTTTATACAATCATTTTTGTTGCCTTACTCGTCAAATGGGAATCGTAACTTGACCATTGTAAATAGGTAAAGGAAGTCTTTGTTACTTGACAAGTTTCAAAAATGTCCTGTCGACGAAATCGGAATAGTGGTAAAACGTACACATGATTAAAAAAAGGTTTTTAAAAAAGTTTAGGTTATTACTTAAATTTTATGTATATTCTTAAGATAATGTAAGGAAATTTTATTTATTAATTTTTGGGTATGTAGATGATTAGTATCTAGATTTAAATATATGTATAAATATATAAATAGTTAGGAGTTACATACTTTCTCAGTACTACTGCCGTATGCGTGAGAGAAAGGGACGCCAGACAGACTGGCACCGTAACGCGTTACGGAAGCGGCTTAAGGAGTTATCACTTCAAAAATTAATTATGTGAAACTTACAGCAAAAACTCTGGGTTGGATATTTTTTTCTTACCTACCTTATCCTAGCGTGTGTGGTGGTGAGCTCAAACCGGAGTGTTGCTGACACTGGCCCTTGCAAAGGCAGTGCTTCGCAGAATCTACCACCGGATCGGAAACACGACCCACTGAGAAGATCCGGCGAGAAACTCAGCGGGCTGTGTCTGTGGGTTAATTTACTCGTCGAGCCCTTCGTCGTAAGCGACGGGTTCGACGAGGACGGTGACCGGTGCTTGAGGTACCTAAAAGCACCATTGGATTTAGTTGGGAATCTTACAGACATTCGGTTAAATATGTCCTCAGGTCGGCAGCACATCCCATTCGGCTCGTGTCAACATCTACGGTCTACCCTTCGTTCGTCCGATGAAGAAGCGTCCCGTCGTCGCCGGAGACACTCTGATCGTGCACTGTCCAGTCGCCGGCTACCCTATCGACTCCATTGTTTGGGAACGTGATGGAAGGTAACTTACTTGGTATTTTTCGGCTGAATGACTCAGTCCTGACCTGCAACTTAATAGGGATGCACGGGGAGCCGATTATGGAAAAGGCTGCAATTTAGAGATATTATAGATCAGTTCGCTATAAGCAGTACATATAGCTTTCTCTTTAATTAAATTTCTCTTGTAGCTTATACATAATATTGCTAAATAATTTCCTATTCTCAAACGTGTGTGCACTGTGACATAAGCTTGTCCCTGGTACAGGGTGTGAGTGGACTGAGTATTAGTTGTTCAATTAACTGTAGTGTTGTAGTATTTTCATATAAATTTAATTTCAAAATTTTGTAATCCGTAGCACTAATAAAAGTAGTTTAAAGGCAATAAGTACAGTAGTAATGCTAGTCACATCGATCTAAAAACACCTGCGAAGGCCTACTTCAATAAAGAACATTTTGATTTTTAATACCTTATTTGTACACAAAAATTAAACAAAAGTCGTAATAGTCAGTATAGTTGGCATACCAACCTTAGTTCTTGGTTCAGTCCGTGCTCGACCACTTGTCCTGGTGAAACTGGAGAGACCTCCGGGCCATGCCGTAATCCTAATAAAAGGTCTTTGACCCCATATATATCGGTAGCTGGTGTATAGACTCTGATACTTAGCGGACCACCAGCAGAGCGGGCAGTTATCTTACGTTTAAAAGTAATATATTCCACTCGCTTGTCAAAAAATGAGTATTTTTCAATTCTCAGAGTCCTCCCGATCAACCGAAAACAGAAAGTATTCCCCAACGGCACCCTTGTTATCGAGAACGTTGAGCGCATGAGCGACGAAGCCACATACACCTGCGTCGCGAAGAACTCGCAGGGATACACGGCTAGAGAAACCCTAGAACTTCAAGTCATGGGTAAGTTTAGAACTATAAATTAAAATCAACTCTTAAAAATTCCTACTAATGCGGTTGAGAGATTGAGCGTTGTTACAGTAAAATAGATCAACAACAATCCTCTGCAACGTTCTTATTCGTACAACGCAGATAAACTATAGGCGCTTTAAAAAAAAAACAATACTATCAAAGGCGCCTTGATCTTAAAAAATATTATAGAAGAAAATTAAAATTATTCAACCACCTACAAAGTACAATAAAAATATTAGAATAATCGGAATAACTGATAATATGTATGAAAAATACCGAAAACTTGAAAGACGTTGTCGTTAAAAGTGTTTTTAAACTGAGTACATGATAAATAAGGCAAATTGAAAACAAACAAAACATGTGTAGAAAAAAAAACGGAATTATAAATGGTTGGTTTGTTGAATATAAAAAAAGAACTTTACCTAAATATTCATCTGAAAGTAAAGATATATTATTTAGAATTGGTATACCTAGAGTACCTACAATAATAAGACTCGGTAAACTTTTGCCGGTAAAGGCAGGATGAGCCGCCATTTATAATTCCATTCTTTGAAAACGGTAGTTGATTCTACCCAATAATAAGATATCCTTTGCACGAACTGCAAAGCTAATTTCATTTGACGTGTGTACTTTTTAATACGAATTTTATATTAAGATACAATAATTATTTTTATCAATGTGCTCAGTTATTTCTATATAATAATGTCATAAATTTTATAAGACTTGTAGGAGGAATTTGATGATACTAAAATATGGAATAGCGACTTCTAGTGTTATGACATTATTATACATCTCTGTATTAATATCAGTTTTATTACAGGAATTCGTTTCAGCTATAAAATTTTAAGTAAACATATTGATTACTTTACGAAATCTTCAGATTTATGCCCGCCAAAGCTACATCGTTAGTCACACACGCCCCTGCACTAATAGCTTTAGACTAGATACAATAAAAAGAGTTTTTACACAGTACCTCCCCAAATCCTACCGTTTGAATTTGGCGAGGAACCGGCCAACGCTGGAGATACGGCTACCTTGACTTGCAGCGTCAGCAAGGGCGATCAACCAGTGAACATTTCATGGATATTTAATGGCCAAGAACTTACAAAGTTCAATAATCTGGGAGTCGTTTTAAGTTCGATTAATAAAAAGACAGCGATAATGAGTATAGATTCAGTAAGTGGCGTACACAGGGGCACATATATCTGTGTGGCAACAAATCGAGCAGGCTCCGCTAATCACAGTGCTGTGCTTGAAGTCAACGGTACACCACATTACTAGCTTACGTTTTTCTAATCCATAACACATGAAATATCCCGATAATGTCCTAAAATACCTTTTATTGCGATTTAATTTTCGTCCCAGTACCACCGCAAATAACGCCCTTCGAATTTGGAGAAGAAATATTGAACGAGGGAGAAACCGCATCCGTGCAATGCGTAATGAGTAAAGGCGATCTACCCGTAAATTTTAAATGGTTATTTAATGGAGAAGAAATCAAACCCCTTAATAACCTTGGAGTCGTTCTTACGACGATTAGCAAGAAAACGTCTATATTAAATATTGAATCTGTGAGATCGGTTCATCGGGGATCCTTTACATGTGAAATAAAAAATCAGGCGGGTCAAACTAATCACACAACAATCCTTAGCATAAACGGTTCGCTTACTTTATACTTCATTCATATCGATTAGAATTATCGTAAGCTTTTTGTGTTAATACAGTTCCGCCTCAAATCTCACCCTTTGAATTCGGTGATGAGCCTTCCAACGCTGGAGATACCGTGTCTGTTCAATGCGTTATGAATAAGGGCGATCTTCCGGCCAATTTTTCATGGAGTTTGAACGGTGGAAAAATTACTGCTAACAATAAATTGGGAATAGCCATAGGGAGCATGAGTCGCAAAATGTCCATACTCAACATTGATTCTGTAAATGGAACGCACCGAGGGTTTTATGCCTGTCACGTGGAAAATATAGCTGGCCAAGTCAATCACAGTGCAGTATTGGAAGTCAATGGTTATTTTAATCCCAAAATCGTAACTTTAAATTCTACATGTTTTTTATTTTAGAGTTAGATAAATTATTATTTTCTCGCAACAGTACTACCCCAAATCCATCCATTTACCTTCGGAGAGGAATCAGCTAATGCAGGAGACACTGTTGGAGTACAATGCATGGTAACAAAAGGAGATACGCCAATTAATATGACATGGCTCTTAAACGGAAAACCAGTCCAACAAATACCAGGCATTACTGTCACCAAGATTGGTCATAAATCTAGCAGTCTATCAATAGATTCAGTAGCATCTATTCACAATGGCGTATATACTTGTTCTGCCACTAACATAGGAGGCCATGCAAATTACTCATCTGAATTGACTGTAAACGGTATCCATTTCTCTTAAAATGAATGTTTTTATACCTTTCGCTAACTTGCTTTTTATATTACAGTTCTTTTTGTATCCCTTTTCCCTATTAAAACAAAACGTAATTTAATATGTATACGAAAATTGATCTGCTGATCATTAATGGATCTTGAATTCTTGTCAGTTGTCCCGCAAGTAACGCCTTTTGATTTCGGAGAAGACATTCTGAATGCAGGAGAAACTGTTTCGTTGACCTGTACAGTCGGAAAGGGAGATTTACCGCTAAACATTTATTGGCAGCTAAATAACCAATCGTTGAATACCGGTAACGGAATTCTAATAAACCGAAATGGAAAGAGAATATCTATGCTGAGCATAGAAAATGTCTTACATGAACACATTGGCAATTACACGTGTATAGCCGAAAATCAAGCCGGTCGTAGTAGTCATAGCGCAACACTTAAAGTTAACGGTATCAATATTTTTCATAATGACTTTAATTATAACGCATTGCTTTATGTTTCACTAAGTTTGATTTTGAATTTTTAAACATTTTTTTCCGAACCTCTTGAAGATAGCCGTTCGCATTTTTAGATTATTGTAAGAATCGTTTCAAGTTCAACATTAAAATACGTTTTTAATTCATATGAAGAGATCACATCTAATGTATTTATTTGTCCTAAAAATATAATCATAGATTTGAAGACTGTTAACTAAAATTTTATTTGAAAATGCTTAAAATTGTTATTTGTACTAGTTGCACCGCAAATACTACCATTCGATTTTGGAACGGAGGCATTGAATGATCAAGAAATGGCAGTAGTGATATGCACAGTGACGAAAGGAGATTTACCTGTAGACATAAAGTGGTTTTTTAATGATGATTTCGTTAGTTCTGGAATCAATGGAATAGTATTAAATAACCATAAGAGAACAAGCCAACTGACAATAGAAACTGTTAGTCATCACAATCAAGGAAATTACACCTGTGTGGTAAAAAATGAAGCTGGTATAACGAACCATACTGCTGCGTTATATGTTAACGGTACATTCTAGCTTTTTCGCCATCCCATTATATTTCACTGTGTATTTTGACATTTACACAAATAACTTCTTTAAACTAGTTCCCTAAATCCTTGCACCCAACAGTCCCTCCCCAGATAATGCCGTTTGAGTTCGGAGCTGAACCAGTAAACGCACAAGAAATGGTTTTGGTTACCTGCACTGTCAGCAAAGGCGATTTGCCTCTGAAAATTAATTGGTATTTCAATGGTGCCAAAATAATATCTGGAGATATTGGAATCAATCTTGTAAACACAAAACGAACCAGCCAACTGAGTATCGAATCAGTGTCTCACCAAAACCAGGGCAATTATACTTGTGTTGTCAAAAATGACGCTGGATTAGTGAACCATACAACTGAGCTTTATGTGAATGGTATTTAATTTACTGTTTCCAAAATGTTTTTCTTTTTTGTGCTTGTTAACTAAAACTTTAAAGTAGTACTTCTATATTTTCTCCTATATCCTTTTGTAACTTTGGCGGGTATTAATGTTATAGAAATTACCCAAGCAAATTAGTCTAAATTATAAAAACAGCTATTTCGAAGGAATCACCAATAAAAATTCGCGTCTTTCAGTGGCACCGATTATAGCTTCATTTGAATTCGACGAATCCGTGTTTTATGGAGAGGGAGTGCAAATAACGTGTCACGTACCAAAAGGAGATAAGCCACTAAATTTTAAGTGGACTTTTAATGGAGGAGATGTGAGTTCGCTATCTGGGGTGAACATAATAAATGTAGGAGACAGGGGTTCAGCTCTAATAATTTCTATGGTGACGGCTGAACATTCTGGCAATTACACATGCACCGCCTCCAATATTGTCGCCAGTGCTAGCCATCACGCTACGCTCAATGTTAAGGGTATTTAATGTCTCCTTACACCAGATGTGGCTTTACGTACGGTTCCATCCAAACAATCCAAACCTATAAATTCCCCTTGAATGTGTTCTTCATTATTGACAATTTTTACAGTGGCACCCATAATATCGCCATTTGAATTTGACGAAGCTGTTTTCTACGGAGAAAGCATACAAATTATGTGTCACATTCCGAAGGGTGACATGCCGTTAGTCCTTACATGGTCATTTCGTAATGAGCCAATTAAGAAAAATGATAATATCGTTATCACAAAAGTAGGGCATCGAAGTGCTATATTATCAATTCCTGCGGCAACTGAGAGACATTCCGGAAATTATACCTGCACTGCTTCTAATACAGTAGCAAGCACGAACCACACAGCCATGTTAAATGTTCAGGGTACATTTTTAATTATGTTTTATTGTGTTCTTATATTTTTTTTATTAAATTTACCCTTGCCAGTTCCTCCACACATCGTTCCATTGGTGACTGAAGAGCTAGTGTTCGCCGGCGAATCAGTACAACTCAATTGTCACGTATCAAAAGGCGACCAACCCCTTACTATCACGTGGAGTTTTCATGGAAAAGAATTGTCTTCTCATCAAGGCATATCTACAATGAAAATAGGCCAACGGACATCACTGTTAACAATATCTAGTGCAACAGCGAGTCACAGTGGCGAATATTCATGTCACGCCTTCAACCACGCTGGCCAGACCGTTCATTCTACTGTTATCAATGTCCACGGTATCCCTATAGTTAGCTAACCCTCTCTAGCACGCTGCACGCTTGGTTCATCAGTATATCTATATTGTTATACGCCTCTTCATTAACAGTATTACCATACATCGTGCCTTTTGAAGCTGACGAATCCGTGTTTGCTGGTGAATCAGTTCAACTAAACTGTCATGTATCGAAGGGCGATATACCTCTTGATATCAAATGGCATTTCCATGGGTTTGAAAACACTTCATCGCATCTCGGCATAATGACCACCAAAATAACAACGCGGACTTCGTTTTTGTCTATCACTGCCGCTACTGCTGGCCACAGTGGCAATTATACTTGCGTCGCAACAAACAGTGCCGGCTCTACTAACCATTCCACTGTCCTTAACGTTCATGGTCAGTTTTTTATTAAATTAAATATAAAGTTTTTCACACAGCGAGTCTTAGCTTCGGATATGTTCACTGAATTAGCATGAGTTCCATGAACATGTCACATAAGCGAAGTGTATGCATATTTGTTTTATCATTTCTTTTTGCTTAATTGAATTAATTTTATTCACACAGTCATACCGAACATTTTGCCTTTCGACGTCGACCAAGCACTGTTTTTTGGAGAATCCGTACAAATGATGTGTCATATATCGAAAGGCGACACTCCGTTGGAAGTTTTTTGGCAGTTTAATGGACAAAAACTTTCTAAAGAACTCGGTACATTCACCAAAGTCGGCGATCGATCCTCCGTTCTGACGTTGCCTTCGGTTACCGGCGCACATAGTGGAAATTATACGTGTATTGCGAAAAATTTCGCTGGAACTGCATCTTACACAACAATTCTTAAAATTATTGGTATCTTACAAACGAGCATATAAAACTAGTTTAATAGTTTGATGTGTACTTTTTTTTATTTGACTATAATGTCTGTATCATTTTTTACCCATTAATCACACAACCTAATTATGTCACCCTTGTTTTCGAATTGAAGTTGTTCCACACATAAATCCGTTCGAAGTGGAGGAGTCAATTTTTGCTGGTGAATCAGTTCACCTCACTTGTCACGTATCGAAAGGAGATAAACCACTTCAAATAACATGGAGTTTCCAAGGCCGTGAAATTTTATACCACAACAATATGGGCATAACGACCACTAAACTAGGAGATAAAGCATCTGTTTTAAGTATTTCGACCGCTATGGGTCAACATAGTGGCAACTATACCTGTTCTGCGAGTAATCGTGCTGGACGAACAAACCATACAGCCATTGTCAACATACACGGTATTATTTTTTAGTTTTGTAAAGGAATTTTATGTTCAGTGAAAGAAGACGGATCCGTCTTCACAGAATGTGTGTCTGTTTAAGATACTGCACGTTTAGACCACTTAGAAAACATTTTTAATTTCGTTTTCAATTAGTTCCTCCCCATATAATGCCGTTCGAGATTGAAGAATCCATATATTATGGCGAATCGGTTCAAATGACATGCCACGTGTCTAAAGGAGATCGACCTCTGACCATTACATGGACATTTGAAGGCAGAGATATACAAAGTCACGTCGGTATTAAAACTATGAAGATGGCAGAGCAAACGTCCTTTTTATCTATTGGCACTGTAACTGGCGAGCACAGTGGAAATTACACTTGTATAGCAAAAAACAAAGCTGGTGAAGATAGATATAGCACAACGTTAAACATAAAGGGTATAGTAGAAAGTATAGCATGATCATACAAGAGATAAAGAATTAACACTTTTTTTTTCTTTTCTTAGTCGTTCCTCATATCAAACCTTTCGAATTGGAAGAAGCAGTTTTTGCCGGAGAATCTGTACATCTCGATTGCCATGTTTCCAAAGGCGACACGCCACTTGAAATATCATGGTACTTCCAAGGAAAGCCTGTAACATACAGAATGGGCGTCAAAACAACGAAACTTAGTGAACGCGTTTCCGTGCTAGATATACAGGCGGCTTCAGATCTAAATAGTGGCAATTATACATGTACAGCTACTAATAGGGCTGGATCATCTAGCCACACCGCTCTACTCAATGTCATTGGTATATAATATTATAGTTCGGGTGCTTGCTTTCTCTTTAGTTCCCCCTGTCGTCCAACCTTTCTCCTTTGGGGAAGTTGCGATGAATTCCGGGCAAGTCATCACTGCTCCCTGTTCTGTCATCGAAGGTGACCATCCACTACAGTTAACATGGTTATTCAATGATGAACCTGTTAAGCCTAGATCCGGAATAACCGTTTTCCAAATTGGAGAAAGAAGTGCCATTCTGAGTATAGGTTCAGTAACGCATGCTCATGCTGGCAACTATACATGTGTTGCAAAAAATGATGCAGGAACTAATTTTCACACTTCAACCTTGAATATAAACGGTGCTTATATATTAAACATTTTTATTTCTGTATTTTTTACGCATCATCAATGTAACTTTCTAAAGTACTTTATGTTTTCCTAAATATCTCTCTATGTCATTTAGTGTAATATTTTTTCAGTACCTCCAAATGTTTTACCANGCAACTATACATGTGTTGCAAAAAATGATGCAGGAACTAATTTTCACACTTCAACCTTGAATATAAACGGTGCTTATATATTAAACATTTTTATTTCTGTATTTTTTACGCATCATCAATGTAACTTTCTAAAGTACTTTATGTTTTCCTAAATATCTCTCTATGTCATTTAGTGTAATATTTTTTCAGTACCTCCAAATGTTTTACCATTCACTTTCGGCGAAAAACCCGCGAATTTCGGAGAATACTTGCAAGTGGCGTGCACTATAAATTTCGGCGATCTTCCTTTAACGATCACTTGGAAGTTTAATGGACAAGTAATATCTCAAAGAAACAACGATTACGTCATTACTAATTCTAAAAGAAGTAGCTTGTTGATAGTAGAATCCGTAAACGCAAAACATGCCGGTACTTACACATGTGTCGGAGAAAATCGCGCGGGTCGTAATACATATTCGGCAGACCTTATAGTTTACGGTTAGTCAACTAATTGTAATAGTTCCTTATTTCAAAATTATTTTTAAAACGTTTGTTTCAGTTCTTCCTAAGATCGCACCTTTTAACGCTAGACCAGAGCCAGCTTTCCTCGGAGATTATTTCGCGCTTCAATGTATAGTTACCCACGGTGACCTCCCAGTGCGCATCGAATGGACATTCAATAATAAATCAGTGAATTCTGTTCCCGAAATTCGTATTAATACTAACGATCGAAGAAGTAGCGTTCTCACAATAGAATCGGTGGATGCTAAACACGCCGGCGTTTTTAACTGTACCGCAACAAATGCCGCTGGCGTTGCCTCTCATATCAGCGAATTAATCGTAAGGGGTGCGAACAAACCTATTTAAGTTGTTTTCACCTCTTTTGTTTTTAACCATAAAAATAATAACATTATTATTATTCCAAATTAAATATTTTATTGTCCTAGTTCCGCCGATAATAGCGCCGTTCAGCTTTGGTGAGATTCCATCAAATCCTGGTGATACAGCAGTTGTGAATTGTGTGGCCACTAAGGGTGACATGCCTCTCGACATATCGTGGACTTTCAGCAGCGAAACAATAGATTCAAGTCTCCAAAGAGACATCATGACGATGCCGCTAGGCTCCCGCGCCTCTGTCCTCACTATCAACTCTGTCAACGCAAATCACCAAGGGAACTACACGTGCATCGTAAAAAACGCGGCCGGCCGCGCTGAACACGTGGCTACCTTAGTCGTAAATGGCATGTAATACCTGATACATAATAAAATTGTGATTACTGCGATATTGCGTGCAATGGGGACTAACATCACAAGTCGCACATCCGAAAAAATCCGTTCCGATCACGAACACGAATCTATATCTATTTACTCACAAAGTTTTCTAACATTGCCTGCCATCAAAATAGCTAACCCCCAAAATGAATGTAATTTTTCCAGTATTACCTCGCATAGTTCCATTCTCGTTCGAGTCTCCACTGTTCGCGGGACAGGCGAGCCAAGTCACATGCTTGGTTTCTGAAGGCGATCAACCTCTTGATATCCAATGGTACTTTCAAGGCCAAGCTTTGAAGGAGAAAGCAGGGGTGACTGCCACCAAAATAGCTCAACGTGCTTCGTTACTTCTAATTGACCCCGCGGGGTGGTCACACAGTGGCTCGTATGCGTGTATCGTACGCAACGCAGCCGGCATGTCCAATTATTCTGCCACTCTCGAAGTTCATGGTATTAACACATGTGTAATCTACCCTCCTCGCACGGAAGAGCTTAGCTTAGTTCTGGATATTGATTGTATGCTTTTTCATAGATACGAATTTGTAACTTAAGTAAAAATCTCTCTTCAAATTGTCCGAAAAATTCAATTAATTACATATCAAGAAGAACTAGTAACGTACTTGAAAATTTAAACCGGCTGCGGCTATCATCGAAAATCCCGTCTGTCCTCTCCTGGCGTATTTTTTATTTCTTTCCTTCCAAATCCTTATATTCCTATCTATGCCTTTTTCATTCTTTTGCATTTTCATTTCAATACGCTAATGCTTCGAAAACTAACAAATCTGTAGGAATAATTACTTGTATCTAATTACCTTAACCTTAACAGTTTTTTTCACTTCAAAATGAAGCTGTGTAATTATCTCTACAGAAGCTTAATGTTTGGCCGGCAAAGTGCACGTTTAATGCTTTTTATTTTTATTTATTTTTTATTATTTTTTTACTAACTATCTGTTGGTCTTGTATTGCTAATGTTAGTATGTGTTGTTTAATACTAAAAGCTTCCATGACGCTGACATAAATTTCGAAAACTAATTATCAAAATGCTTTCATCGCAATGGAAGCTTGGCAACACTTATAGAAATTTCAATTTGAATTTATATTTAACTAAAAAAATATTTAGACCTAAACGAATCAATGATTCTCAGTTATAATTTTCTCCCTTAAATCGTGTCTTGGCTGTGTAAGATATTATGTCTAATTAAAAGTAGTAAACAATAAACCAAAAAAGTAATTATTCACAAATTAAATATAAATTCAATATTGGGAAATTTCTAACATAATATTGATGAAATAGTGAAACAACAAATGAATGAATCACACAAGTAACAGAAATCTTAATAAATATTGTTTTTTTTTTCGATAATTCTAAATAATACATTATGAACATTAGTTTAATGGTAATTGTTATATAACTAAACTAAAACTAGGTATATATTTTACAATAACTTATTGATTTCTCATTTAGTGGATCGCTATTTCAATGACAATGATTCCCCAAATATTTTTTCTGATTAAAAAAAAATATCATTGATTCCATTTACTAAAATTTGACAAAAATATAAATTAAAACTGTTAAATCTTGAATTAAATTGAATTTTGCAAGTAAATAAATCTTGTCAATCGAATAATCAAATATTTACACAGGTTATAGATGTTTGAATAAAATGATTGTATTTTAGTTCCACCACGTTGGATTCTTGAGCCAACTGATAAAGCTTTTGCCCAAGGCTCTGATGCTAAAGTTGAATGTAAAGCCGACGGCTTCCCCAAGCCTCAAGTTACTTGGAAAAGGGCTGAAGGTAAATTAATTTTAACTCTTTAAACCATATAAACCCTCTATTTGACTTGTTCCATTCTTCGGAAAAAAACAATGAGATCCGTTTAAACTTTTACTAATTTATCTATTTATTAAATGTATCTTTTTGGCGTAATCTTTACTTCATTAAGAATTCAATTCACATTCAACTGTAATCACAAATTGGGTAATGCAATTTATCCAATGAAAAAAAAATCCATACATAAATATACATTTTTTATTTATGATGATTTTTTTAGGGGATACGCCTGGCGATTACAAAGACCTTAAGCCTAACAACCCAAATGTTAAAGTTGAGGACGGCACATTGACTATTTCAAATATTCAGAAAACAAATGAGGGCTATTATCTTTGCGAAGCCGTTAACGGGATTGGATCCGGACTGTCTGCGGTGATTCTTATCAGCGTACAGGGTAATTAAAGCATAAATTCTTGACGTATTCATGTTTTTTTTTGTTAATTGTCAATAATTTAATTTTAAATATAACTAATTTCAGCACCACCCCAATTCGAGATTAAAATGAGGAATCAGACTGCTCGCAAAAGTGAACCTGCTGTACTTCAATGCCAAGCTAAAGGAGAGAAGGTACACAATGCATTCGTTACGTTTGAAAATTATCTCTATATCTACACACACAATATCGGTTTTAATTAATTAAATTGACATAATAATATGTAACTTTTAAGCCTATCGGAATCATCTGGAACATGAACAACAAACGTCTCGAACCCAAATCCGACCCAAGATATACCATCCGCGAAGAGATTCTCCTCGGGGGAGTTGTATCTGACCTGAGCATTAGAAGAACTGAACGATCGGACAGTGCGCTGTTTACTTGCGTGGCTACTAACGCTTTCGGTTCGGACGATACCAGCATCAACATGATCATCCAGGGCAAGTTATTAAAAGTTCGCGCAAAATAAAACAGAATTATTGTGAAAACCGATTGAGGGAATCGATTAAAGAATTCTAAAGGGAATTAAATAAATATTAACAAACTTTACAGAGGTTCCCGAAGCTCCGTACGGTCTAAAAGTCTTGGACAAATCTGGAAGAACGGTACAACTGTCTTGGGCAGCTCCTTATGACGGCAACTCGCCCATAAAGAAGTTCCTTATTGAATACAAACGCGCTAAGGGTAACTGGGAAAAGGATATTGACAGGTGTGATGAAATCTACGTTAATGCATAACAAAAATAAAAAAGCCCTTAACTTTATTAAGTCAATTTTGTTTTAGAGTTCTTGTACCAGGGGACGCTACTGAAGCCGGCGTATTTAGTTTGAGACCCGCCACCGCCTACCACATTAGGATCGTCGCCGAAAACGAACTAGGAACTTCAGAGCCTTCAGAAACGGTTACAATCATCACGGCCGAGGAGGCACCCACCGGGCCACCACAAGACGTTAAGGTTGACGCCGCGGACAAGTACACACTTCGCGTAACCTGGAAACCTCCCGCGCCCCAAGACTGGAATGGTGAACTGCAAGGGTAAGAAGTTCTTTAAGATGTCCTCATTTTACTATCGCGCATCCAAGTCTGGTGGTAGGACCTCTTGTGAGTCCGCGCGGGTAGGTACCACCACCCTGCCTATTTCTGCCGTGAAGCAGTAATGCGTTTCGGTTTGAAGGGTAGGGCAGCCGTTCTAACTATACTTGAGACTTTAGAACTTATGTCTCAAGATGGGTGGCGCATTTACGTTGTAGATGTCTATGTGCTCCAGTAACCACTTAACACCAGGTGAGCTGTGTCGTCCACCCCTCTAAGAAATAAAAAAGTCAGAGACAGAAGAATTGTATGAAATGAGTGAGAGAGAACTTTATTACTGGTGGGTTGGTTAGTCCATCAATTCATACGAGTCCACCGTGTAGGTTCCACCTTCCTGCCTATTTCTGTCCTGAAACCTTTCGGTTTGAAGGGTGGGCCAGCTATTGTACAATAGAACTGAGACTTAGATAACTCAAGGTGGTTGGCGGTATTTACATTGTTAATGTGTATGGGCTCGGGTAGCCATTAAGGTCAAGTGGTCATAACCTCAACCACCCATCTGAGCAATAAATAAATTAACTATCTTCAGGCTTTTGCATTGGGTAGCTACACAGAAAGCCCAAGAAATTACTTTCAAGTTTTTTTTTATAAAAAAACTGTCAATACCAATTGACTATACATAAATAATATTAACATGAAAATTCTATTGTATATCAGGTACTACGTTGGATACAAATTGGCTTCCAGCAACAAATCGTTCGTTTTTGAAACCGTCGACATTTCCAAAGAATCTGGCAAGGAACACCATTTGGACATTCAAAATCTGAAGTATGTTTTTCTGAAGACTGCGAAAGTCAACAATTCATGATAACTCTAGTGTACTATTAATTTTTACATCTGAATATTTTCCATAGGACCTACACCCAGTACACTGTCGTAGTCCAAGCCTTCAATAAGATGGGATCGGGCCCGGTGTCCGCTGAAGTCCGCGCCTATACCGCCGAAGGTGCCCCGTCTGCTCCCCCTCAAGACGTTTTATGCACCACCCTCACGGCACAAACCATCCGCGTCTCCTGGGTGTCGCCCCCACTGGCTGCTGCCAATGGTCTGATCAAGGCGTACAAAGTGATTTACGGACCCAGCGAAACTTGGTACGGTACGTATCTCCGTCAAACAAACTTATGTTAAGCAAGTACATCTGAAGTCGTCGTGGCCTAAAGGATAAGACGTCCGGTGCATTCGTGTTAAGCGATGCACCGGTGTTCGAATCTCAGGCGGGTACCAATTTTTCTAATGAAATAAATACTCAACAAATGTTCACGATTGACTTCCACGGTGAAAGAATAACATCGTGTAATAAAAATCAAACCCGCAAAAATTCTAATTTGCATAAGTACTGGTGGTAGGACCTCTTGTAAGTCCGCGCGGGTAGGTACCACCACCCTGCCTATTTCTGCCGTGAAGCAGTAATACGTTTCGGTTTGAAGGGTGGGGCAGCCGTTGTAACTAACTATACTTGAGACCTTAGAGCTTATATCTCGGGGTGGGTGGCGCATTTACGTTGTAGATGTCTATGGGCTCCAGTAACCACTTAACACCAGGTGGGCTGTAAGCTCGTCCACCCATCTAAGCAATAAAAAAATCGTTTTTTTTTCTGGTATATAGTAATACTTTTAATACTGAATTTATTATAGATGAAAAAACTAAGGACACCAAAAACACGGCTAGTAGCGAAACTATTCTCCACGGACTCAAGAAATTCACTAACTACTCTATGGAAGTGCTTGCGACCACTAACGGCGGAGACGGAGTGCGATCTGTACCCATCCACTGTCAGACTGAACAAGACGGTCAGTATTCTAGATTCTTCTTTACAGTGATATATTGTATCTTTGTCGGTGGCGTATATTAGATCAACCAAATAAATTATAAACTTTTAGTTACAAAATTAAATCCTGTAGTGTTTTAACGATAATCAATGACAATCCTAAAAAGGCCAAATTAAGAAACAAACAAAGTCAACGCGTGGTGATGTGGCTTGCACCGCACCTCGCTACCAGTGGCCTTATGTCATAGTCCTATCAGCCGTAGGATAAATACGCTCATGATCTTTCCTGTTGATTCACATCCTTATAATACAATAATATACCATACCACGCCTTAACTGGTAATCTATCCAAAAAATATATATTGAAACACAGTCACACAACACATTAGTGGAAATGACCAAACAGTGAATTCTTCGTATCCTAATAGGCTGCTGCGACCCATTCGGATTTCAAATTCAAGAGGCAAAAATATTCTTAGTAAATACGTACGTAACACTTACGAATGGTTCCCGTGATGAAGCACGTCTAATAATAAAATAAACTCGCAAAACTTATTAAAACCCCCTTAATTCCTGGAAGTTGGTTATAAAAACGAAACGCGTTCTTACTCCTGATTGGCTAGTTGAATTAGTCACCGGTGCTCCTGATTGACTGGAAGCATTAGAATAATTTTGTTTATAAACCTTGTAAGATTAGACGGATTTTGATACTACCTTTAGTTTTGAAACGGTTTTTTACTCGAATTTATAATTAGCTTAGCTATTTTAACGAAGGAGAACTGATTGAAGACATTTCGTTATAAATCCCATGTAAAGTTTAAGCTTTTCTTTAAAATGATCACGTTTGTTCCTTATCGACACAGATAATCTTTCCTAGCAGTGATTATTCACCTGAGTAAAGACACTGAATAAAACATAATTTATTACCCTAAGTAAGTTTTTTTGAGCGTCAAAACTTTCAGCCACGGTCCGCCTTATAATAAAGACGCTTAATAAAATCCCTCCCGTTATATCACTTTGTATGATACCGTAACAAGCTTACGTGGATCAATGTATTTTTTGAATTTCTTAAAATAATTTCGTACTGTGTAGTACCCGAGGCCCCGCGAGCTGTCAAAGCTCTTGTAATGGGACAGGACTCTATCCTTGTTTCTTGGAGAGCCCCCGCGCAACCTAACGGAGTTGTCACCCACTACAACGTTTACACGCAAGCACAGAACGCAGAACCTCATCCTAATAAGGTAACGAAATGAAAACATTTGTGTTAGGAATTGTTTTAAGCTTCGCGCCTATCTAAATTATACACTCTATTACTGAACTGGTAATCTTACCAGGACGTTCGGATTTTATGAGATCCCGATATTGTTTGTTTGTTGCAAGCGCTACGATCACGATAGTCGGAAGACTGCGGGTAGGATGTTAAGAGCTGACAATTACCTGTCTACCCTCTTTTTAGCCAGTTTTTTCTGGTGCTACCACAGAAACTAAATGTCTCATCCTGTAAGTGTATATTCGGGAATTCATGAAATTTTAAATCGTGGTATATCTTGTATGTGCTTGTAGCTATAGCTGTAGTTAATTCTGATGACCAACTAGTTTACATGGTGGAGTTGGAGTCCGTTGATATCACAACGTGAATCCTGATACCCACCTTGAAACATGAGGTCAAAATTTCAATCATATTGTATAACAGTTGTCCCACAGATCAAACCAGAGTATCAGGCTTCGCCGCAGAAATATAATATTAGTACCCATCCGTGCCAGGTTACAATATGCTCTGCCACCAACCCGGTTGTCTTTTACATCCACGGGAAGAGACGAGGTGTTGCTATTATAAGCTAATGTATCTTTATATATTTCTATTTTTTATTTATTTATAAAATTCCAGGTACCAGCCAGTCAAACTAGTTACTCCGCAACTGAACTGAAGCCCGGCCGATACGACTTCTGGGTAACCGCTTCAACTATCATCGGCGAAGGACAACCCTCAGCAACCGCCTCTTGCAGCCCCAGCGACAAAGGTTAAATAATAAAATTTTGAATACATATCTAATAGTAACTAATAATAAATACCTACATAATAATCACGCATGGTAAACTGACCCCAATTTCGGATTCCCTGTGTTTTGGAGACCTATAAACAATAAACACCCAGACAAAGAACAAACAAACCTGTTCATCACACGAATGTTTACCCGATGTGGGAATCGAACCCACGACCCTCAGCGCAACAGTCAGAGACGCTAATTACTGCACCACCGAGTCAGTCAACAGTCAAACAGTAGTTTTTAAACTTAATGATTCATATTTTTCACAGTACCCGCTAAGATCGCTTCGTTTGACGAATCATTCACCGCGACCTACAAAGAGGATGTGAAGCTGCCTTGTCTTGCTGTCGGTGTGCCGTCCCCTAATATTATCTGGAAGGTAATGTAATAACAAATAATGTATATAATAATAACAAATGTTCATGCTGCATTGGGCTTATATTTTCATAGTACTGGTAATAACCACTCCCTTCATAGAAGAAAAAATACTAATAAGGCTTAATGCAATTTTTATGTGAATCTAGAAACAAATAACTTGTCCTATTTTTTGATTCCGTTTAAGTTTACTCTTTCTTACCATAAATATATAAAATGTCTGGAGGTGCAATATATCCCTTCGCCAAAATTATGTTGAATAATAATTTTCGCATTGCACGCAATGGATAGTGTACAAAATTAGCTGACACGGGAAGAACCGGCCAAAGTTATTCAAATTACATTGCGGGTTCATGAAACAAGACCTTTCTGCAACGATAAATATTTTAGCATACTAATGTTTCGAAAATAATCTTACCTCAAGATATAAATTAATATCAAGAGTATTCTCCATTCTATATATATCTGTAAAAAAAAATTGTAGAAAGTAAGTTTTTATAATTACTAAACAAAAAATCCGTCAACAAATGGAGGCGAAAAACGGTTTTGTGTTTGTTTATTTGTTTCAAGATTATTAAATTTTTCTTTGTCGAGTAATAAATTATTACTTTCTTGACGACTTTGTATTCAGTATATACAGAATGTCATAGCTACATCCCACGTACCGGAATTTCATAACAAGTTTTGTTTTTTATATTTGTGTTATTGAAATCGTTTAATTTTTTTTATTGCTTATATCGGTGGTGGTGGTGGTGGTGCTCACAGTCCACCTGGTGTAAAGTGATTACTGGAGTCCATAGAAATCTACAATGTAAATGCACCACCCACCTTGAGATATAAAATTTCAGGTCTCAATATAGTTACAACGGCTGCCCCACCTTTCAAACCGAAACGCATTACTGCTTCACGGCAGAAATAGGCAGGGCGGTAATACCTACCCGTGCGGACTCAAGAGGTCCTACCGCCAGTAATTACGCAAATTATAATTTTACGGGTTTGATTTTTATTACACGAAGTCAATCGTGAACATTTATTTTGTTAAGTACGTATTTCATAAGAAAAATTGGTACTCGCTTGCGGGATTTGAACACCGGTGCATCGCAAGATACGAATGCACCGGACGTCTTATCCTTTAGGCCACGACGACTTCAAGTTCATATATTGAGAATCGGCAAATTCCTCGACGGTATACGGAATCGGTATACGCGCTCTTCTATGTCGTTCTATATTCTAGAAGTATCGGCGTTAAGCCCGCTTGGGTAGGTATCGGTATTTTGCTTATTTCTGCCACGAACTAATTTTGCATAACAGTTTTTAAGGAAGACAACGCTAGTACCAATGCATTTGAAACTTACCTTACGTTTCAAAGTGTACAGCGGCTTCTAGTGGCATATATCGTAACCACTTAACTCCAGAGCGATTCGTCGTAAGCTCATCTGTCCGTTGCAGTCGTCAATTTTTTTTTAATCAAATGTTATTTTAGGTCAAAGGTCAACTCTTGGACGCGTCGGAGCGTGTCCGCCAGCTGCCGGAAGGTTCGCTTCAGATCGCCGGGGTGGCTCGCGAGGACGCCGGGGAGTATTCCTGTCACGTCGACAACCAGTTCGGCACCGACACCGTCACCCACACTCTGTCTGTACTCGGTAAGTCCTCAACAGACATCAGGCGAACTGCGTTAATATATCTATATATATTAATACGTGAAGCAATAATTTTGTACCCCTTTTTACGAAAATTGCGCGGACAGAGGTAGGAAAAAGGAAATATAAAATTTCCTTTTTTTTTCCTACTTATGCTCATAGCCTTCAGAGGCTATTTCAGCTTCGTCCTAACGTGTGTAGGTGAGCTCACGGGGCTCAAACCGGAGTGTTGCTAACACTGACCCTAGCAAGAGCCGTGCTTCGCAGAATCTACCACTGGATCGGAAATGCGACCCGCTGAGAAGATCCGGCGAGAAACTCAGTGGGCGAAATTTCCCATACTTATAGAGAATATAGAGAAGGAGTGCAGAATGTTAATTTTTTTTTAAATTATGCATATTAAATCAATAACATTACGCACACTACCATGTATTTGACACATAATTGTCAAAGACTATTATACTTGTATAATTACAGACATCGTCAAGACTACACTTTAGACAAATATTAATAAAGACAAAAAAATTTTAATCTATTCTTAATTTGACCACAGACTTAAACAATAACAAAAGTTTGACAATAAATAAATAGTATGAATGCGTGTGTGCGTCAAATACATACATGGTAGTGTGTGTAATGTTTTTTTTAATTAACATAATTTATTATTAATGGATAATTTAAAAAAAATATTAGCTTTGTTCACTTCTTCTCTATATTCTCTATAAGTGTGGAAAATTTCATACTCCTCCGTCCGCGTAATTTTCGTAAAAAGGGACACAAAATTTTTGCCTCACGTATTAATATATAGATAGTCGAATTTCGACTACCAGCGGACCGCTAGTTTATAGTTATTATGTGTAATGAGTGTGTGCGTCGCAGCCCCCCCGTTCCCGCCGCAGCTGAGCATCGCGTCGTCGTCCGTGTCGTCCCTGACGCTCCGCCTGAAGCCGTCCGCCGACGTGGACCAGTCCCCCGCCGCCGGCTACACCATCCACTACAAACAGGAGTTCGGAGACTGGGAAACTGTTCAGGTATTCTTATTTTTTAATTCAACTACATCCACAACGTTTTTTTTTTTTTTTTATTGTGGCTCGCACGGATTGTGCATTTGCCATTACTAGAACCTTTCATTGTATACTATAGTGTAGTATTCTCATTATATCTTAGTATTCTTAAAATAAACAAAAATGCAAAGAATAAAATACAAAAATACAATGGGCTATTTGATCGTTAAGATAAATCTCTTCCAGACAGCCATCGGGTGAACAAGAATGAATGTAGGACAGAATTTAACCGTGTTGTACAAATTATGATCGACTTCATTGATGAGATCACATTTATAATAGTACCCTCTTTAATTCTTAGCATTGTTATAGGACGTGCTGTCACATATAAATATATACTTACAACATATAATAGATGCTGCCGTTCTGGGTAAATTAGTAAAATAAATTATATTTCCTCTTTGTACGATAATATAGCCCACACTGGCCCACTGCTGGACACGGCTAATGTGCACTACTAATGTGGGCGTGAATTTTATGGTTATAACTAGCAACAGGCTCGAATAATACGGCACTTGTCTTAGAGATTCTCCTTGTGTTTTCTATGACCTACAGCCATCAGCATATTGTTATTTGGAATCCGTTTCGTCCAAACTAAAAAAAAAAAATTGCAATATACCTACATTTAGTTAAAATGTTTTTTTTTTGTTGTAAATAAATGACAGATCCCGAGCAGCACCGATACGTACACTCTTGAGAATTTATTCTGCGGATCACGATATCAGCTTTACGTCACAGCTTACAATGGGTGAGTGGTCGGATCTCGGAACTAGAGTTAACCATTTTGTGATTTAATATCAAGGTGTCTCATAACGGACCACGAAGGATGATCGTTTGCCGGAATAGCTCCCTAGGCTACTTGGGCATAGATAAGGATAGAAAAAAAAGAACGATACTCGTTCACTCATCAAGGCCCTAATAATAGTATATATTATGTTTATTTATCGTAATCTACCTAAGTTTTGATAGTTTATTTAAAAACAGATGATTTGTGAGCCATAGTATCGATTAGATCAATATTTTGTGTTGCTGCTATGCTAATAAAGTATCCGGAGCCGGGGGTTGGGGGGGGGGTATAATCAAAGCTCATATAGAATATTATCCATGCTCACCGAATAAATACGCTCGATAAGAGATTCGCTCTTTAAGGACACACAAAAGTAAATATACCACTAATAAATTACCATTGCACTTTGGCACATCATGATTTTAGTGTTTCGCGAAGCAATTACTCGTTTCCTACACATATCTTATTACTGTAACAAATAATTCACCTTGAGTATCGAAAACAAAATCAAATCGTTTTCTGCTGCGTTTTCAGTATCGGAACTGGCGAGGCTTCGGACGTGGTGATCGCCCGCACGCGCGGCTCCAAGCCCCCCGTGCCCCGCGCCGCCGACTTCATCGAGGTGGCCTCCTCCTCCGTCACCCTGCACCTCAAGCAGTGGCTCGACGGCGGCTGCCCCATGAGCCACTTCGTCGTCGAGAACAAGAAGAAGTAAGTGCGGTCATTCACAAAATGTTCCTGCAGTTATGTAGAACTGGTGGTAGGACCTCTTGTGAATCCGCACGGGTAGGTACCACCATCCTGCCTATTTCTGCTGTGAAGCAATAATGCGTTTCGGTTTGAAGGATGGGACAGCCGTTGTAACTATGCTGAGACCTTAGAACTTATATCTCAAGGTGAGTGGCGCATTTATGCTGTAGATGTCTATGGGCTCCAGTAACCACTTAATATCAGGTGGGCTGTGAGCTCGTCCATCCTTATAAGCAATAAAAAAAAATGTACAGTACAGACTAATAAACAGGTAAAAACTTTAAACACCATTTTCTACTTTGTTTATCCATCTATTTTTTTCTGTTTTATTACACGGACTTGCTTATGATTTAAAATTTTTTATTGGAAATGGTCAATTTTTCCTAAAAAAAGTTATAGTAATTTAAATTTTGAAATATCAGTTAAGTATGTGGTCGATTTTCCATATTTGGCGAACACTCCCATTTATAAATTTTTAAAACCTGTATAGCCTGTATCAAATACAAAATAGCTTCTCCAAAATACCTCTGTTTTTCTGTGGGTAAGTTTTAACCTTTTGAAAAAGTCCTAAGCTTCAAAAATTATGTACTTTTAATTTTATCGCTACACCAATAATGCTTTATTTCATGTACCAATCCAGAGACTATCACGTTTTATGATCAAAAAGCGTACAGTACAATTAAACATTGAAACTTCCTTTTTTTGTTTTGCAAACTCGATTATGATTATTTATTTTTTCTATTTAATTGTTAATTTTGCTTTGGTTCATAACTTTAATAACTTTTTTTTTTTTTTTTTTTATTGCCTTTGTGGGCAGACGAGCGTACGGCCCACCTGATGGTAAGTGGTTACCGTCGCCCATGGACTTCAGCAATGCCAGGAGCAGAGCCAAGCCGCTGTCTACTGCTTAATACTCTCCACAAGCCTCGTTTGAAGAAGGACATGTCATAGCGTTCGGGAAACACCGTGGAGGGGAGCTCATTCCATAGCCGGATGGTACGTGGCAAAAAAGACCTCTGGAAACGCACTGTGGATGACCGCAGTGGCTCCAGGTAGTATGGATGAACTCTACTCCGGTGGCGGGCGGTGCGATGGTAAA